GGGGGGGGGGGGGGGGGGCGGGGGCTACGCAGCGGTGGTTCCTCGGGGTGGCATCGTCCGTGATAGGAATGAACGATGGGTGAATTTGGATTACTCCGCTTCGTGTACACGTTCTATTCTTGTCATTCCTGCCTGTAAACCTCCCTCGGGGAGCTTACGATTATTGTGATCCATCTCTCTCTCTCGTATTTCTAAAAGTTAAAACTACATTCTTAGGTGATGTGCATGTCACCCTTCGTCCTCAACAACCACACATTGCTATCAATCAGTGGCTACGAACCATTCGAGACCACCAAAAGTTATCACCAGAAACATGAACACCAACGACAACGGCGACGACGACAGCAACAGGGGCCAAACAGAGCAACGATGACATCGACAACGTCAACAAGACGCAAGCGTCGTGCCTTATCTCTCTCCGCGCTGAGAGCCTCGTTCCTCTCCTCCCTCTTGGCGGCTTGCTCCTCGTCCGTAAGCAACTGCTTCTCGTCCTTGCCGAACCCGGTCTGCCAAAGCACGTCGACCAAACCGTCGACGGCGAATCAGTCGGTGTCACAGGTTGCTATCACAGACACGCTCGTCAAGCGCGCAATCGCCGTCAGATCTGTTGCGCGGTTGCTTGACACGCCTCTGTATCTTCCTCCTCCCCTCTCATTGCCTCTCTCTTTGTTTTCTTCCCTCTTGCTCACTCGCATGTATGTGTGATCAAGTATTAACCCCCACCCCCCACCCCCCACCAACCAGGTTACCGCTTTTTTTCTGTTGCTTTGGCTGTTTTCTGCGGTAAGCATGAATGGTGGTCGAGTAGATTATGTTGTGCGGGGTCGAGAGCCTTCACTACGCACAAAGGGGGATGATCGCGCCACGTTGTGATAAATTGGTCAAGCACCCTCTACGTAGTTACACAGTGATGATAACTATCTCGGAAGTGAAATCACCAGAAAATAAACTAAGTCATTCGCGGCTGGCACCCGTATGCAAGGAAGTAAGCACAAGAAGCCGAACACCCTCAGCAGGATGCAGCGCACCGTCCGTGCGACTCGCCGAATACCTCACGGACCTTCGGGCTTGGTGATGTGAGAGCCTGGCCCGGTGAGAACCCGGCGTGCTCCGTCCCGGCTTTGTAGAGATGCGACGTCAATGGTCTAACGACTACGGCATGCACGACCATGAGTGCACCCCCCCACCCCCCGCTGTCTCTCTCTCCCTCCTCTCCCCGCCCTCCATATTTGTACCCGACGCCGGTCTATCCGCGTGATAGCAAATACGAAAACCATATAAATCAATATTCACGGCTAAACGTGATATTTCTGCTTGTTTACTCCGAGAACCACCAGAGCGATACCCCGACCATGCCCTTTCCTACGCTGTTCCATCTGCTGCTCCAACACACGTCCCCAACCGTGCCCATTGCTCGGCCGTATCTGTCGAAGCCAACCAACACACAGGACAAGGATCGCGGCTACAAGACAGGGCGTACCTTCTTCGTGAACTTCATGTACCCCACCCTCGACAGTTGGTGCTCCACCATCTTAGCCTCCGCCTCCAGAGTCCGTACGATCTCTCGAGCCTTTTTTTTGCCCACGGGGCGGGCAAAGATGGGAATATGATTCAACAGTGCCTAAGCGAGTAAAATCAAGGGCATAAGGTGACACGTGCAGGTGCCAGGACACAACGTACACTACGTCCTGAGCCTACGCTGTGTAGCCGTTTCAGGGGTAGGGTCGAGGGCGTGCTCGAAGGCAGTGGGTTGTTTTCGCCGTCACTTGTAAGGTTTCGGTTTGGGAAGAAATTATAGTCCGTCCCGCAGACTTCGCGAGTAGCATTAACCTACCATAGGACCACATGTTGCATTCTTTGGTTGTTGTTGTGGGGAAGCAGGCGTACGACAAAAAAAACGACCAGCGTAGCGTTCAAATAGTTCAACGACAACACCACGTCGCTTTAAGTCAACATTATCTGCCATTATCACCAGTTTGTGGTTTTCTCGCCTATCCCTCTTTAACCACCCGTGAAGTTCTGGACAATTGGCGCACTGGTACACACAGCTGTACCTCCTTTACATCTTCATCTTCTTCCAGTAGCCCGCACAGTAGCCATGCTTTCACTTCCTCGGATGTCACCTATAGGAGGCGCACAATCGTCCCCACACCCAGCATCAGGACGGGTTCATCGATGGGTGCAAACACTGCCCAAGGCAAACGGTCGTCATTATGCGGGTGGGCACTTCGTTCTGGTCGAACTGTACTCACTTCGCGGTACTACCACTTCACCCTCCGGCGTTGAGCTTCGTGTAAATTACCTTCTGTACTTGCATGCGTGTTTGGAGCTGTGGAAGCCTGTTTTAACGGGCCCGGCACACCCTAACAAGTCGTCCCGCAGGGTTTTCCCGCGCCCATCTCTTCGTTAGACAGTTGCGCTACATACACTACGATTGCCAGTCCGTATGTACCTCGGTCTTCTCGTTGTTCGTGTTGAGCGGCACGTTGAAGATCATGATCTGCACGTCTCCGTAGTACGTAGGGTCTCTCGAGCGATCAATCACCTTGATAGGTTTGATTGACACATCGGAATAGTGCGGCAGCGCGGCAATATTACAAGATCTTGTCGTCACCTCACGTAGTTGATGAGATTGAGAGCTGGATTACATTCCCTGTGACACCAGACTACTGTAGTCTGAGTTTGAGCATGGAGTGATATGCAGTGATCGTTTCGACAACAAACCCTCTGCTGTGCGGAATTGCTCACGACATCTTCCTCAAACACGTTCGCACCAACGTTTGGTTTCTTCGAAGACCACACGGCATATGTGATTGGTACCACCGGCAGAAGGTATCGAACTAGAAAAAAATGCGAAACGTCCTCAGAGCACACCGGGCACCAGGTATATGCAAAGGTCAACCGAATGAAACGACTGATGACATGACAACTACCATGCATATCCACGACGAAGGTGACACATCAAGACATGCATCTCGCCTCTTTCTCTTCCATGGCGACGACGGCGTAGTTCCAAGGCAACGGATGGCAGTGCATCTGGGCATGCGGCGGCCACACGATGTCCCCCGTGGTCTGGTCCTTGAGGTACTCGATCTAAAATCACGAACGAGGTACGGGCGAACAACACCAGAAGTGTGAACATGCGAGCGAAAGCTCCATCCGCTCCTTCCTCCCCAGCCCCACCAAGTCATGCCTCCCTTTTCGTGGTGTCCTGCTATACCCGTGTTGGTTGTCACATCCATCCCTACCATGCTACGGCGCACGATGCGACGTCCTCGCCAAAAAAATCACCTTGACGTGTTCCGGGCAGGTCAAGCACATGTTCCGCAGCACGACCTCGGTGAGGCGGCGTCGAGGGACTTTCCATGCGCATCCTTGGATCGGCTCACCGTCCTTGTCCATGCAAGCTATCTGGATTTTCTCGTTCCACCTATGGGTTGTTTTGTGAAGGTTTGGGGATGACAAACAGGGTGGCTGGCTGCATTACACGGTTCGATGACATCACGACGAGCTGAAGCCTGTCTTGGTTGATGGAGAATCTGGGAGGATAAGAGGCGAGAACGAAAGCCAAGCCTTCACGAACGGTACCTACACGAATGGCCCCATCTACTTGCGTACTATTGTATTTACACGGTAGACTACTGTACCAGATTATCGTAGAATCGAGGTGAGTCTAATTAATGCGTATCGCCATTTTTCCGTATCTGTGATAAAGACATGCATGCCGGAGTGCCTACGAAGAGCTGCAAAAGCTTCATAAAGTACCACAACAACAGGGCACTAGCCACACGCGTGCCTATGTCCCTTTACTGCCTAAGCTCTCTTTCGAGCGCACGCTCTCTCACCAGGCTTTTTTGCGCGAAGCATCTCTCTCCAGCGTCTTGAGAGATTCACCGGGTGTCTTGATTTTTGAGCGCCTCGCCTCGATTGCCTCGCGGATAGCCGCCGTACCCTCCGGGACCGACATGATTGCTTCTTCGCGTCTTCTCGCAAGCCTGTATCGCACCTTCTATGCGCACACCTCCTTTCTGCCTATTTTTTTGCCCAGTGAGCCAGCAGTCAATCTGTTGTTGTTAATCTGGGCGTTTATCATTCGCAGCAACGCAGCCACGCAGCCATGGATATTGGATCATTGGATCCCATCAGGTTCCGCCGCGTTTTTGGTTAATTCCGCCGCATCCACCTTCCTTCCTTCACGCCGTTCGCCGTTCACCCGTGCACCGTACACCCTCATAGGATGGGCTCACGACGCCGCCTGCAGCCTGCTGCAGGTGCTGCAGGAGCTTTTCTCTGCCTGGGTGCTGGAGTTGCTGTCATCGCTCTAGGCGATGCGGACTCTGAGACTAAGCGGCGCATCTCTACGCGAGCGTCAAAGCTAAGAGGTGAGGTGCTGCTGAAGGCCCTGTCCCAGCGATTGCACCCCACTCGGCTGACCGAGGACGGAGCGGGTGCAACATCAGTCCCCCAAGCAGCAGCACCTACAGAGACGTCGATCCACCGATTCTACGTGGTGACTGGCCCCGATGCATACTTGACGTCGACCGCGAGAGAACGTTGGTCGCACACACTCGTTGGCAGAGGCAGCATTGGTGTCCCAGGAGCGCACTCTACGTTGCACAGCGAACGAGCCGCCGCCGCCGCCGCCGACAACACGGGTAGCGCTAGCACTTTGTCGCCGTGGCCTGCTGTCCGGCTTGGTGTGCCTTACGACTGCGCGCTCGGGACGGGCCTGTTTTCGTCCTTGGTGGACCAACAGCTTGTGTGGCCGCAACATGCGTCACCTGTTGACCATGGTGGCCACAGCATTGGTGGAGAACCTTCATCAGTACGCACCGCCACTGCTGTACCGCAACGGGGCGTAGAGGTTGAACGACAACACGAACGACAGCAGTCGCCCTACAGCAGCACGGTGTGGGACACGACAGGTGGCGAAGTTGAACGTGACAAGGAACATGACTCGCTGCCGGCAACACCACCAACAACAGCAGCACGAGCCACGCCAAACCCAGTAGTGGTCTCTACTTGGGACTCCGTGGTGCTCTGGGCGACACAGGCCGTGCTGGATGGCGAGCAGCTCGATACTGTTGCTCTTTCGGCCTTGGAGCAGGCCCTTGCCTGCGTTCCCTGCACCACCAGCGGCGAAACCTGTCCCTCACCAGCAGACGCTTCCTCTACTCGTAGTAACGACAACAACGACGACAATCCCCAGGACTCGCAGTCACCCGCTTCCAACGTATCCCCATCAAACACGGCCGCAAGTACCGCCAACGGGAGGCGCAGCTTCCTTCTGGATATAGGATGGTCACCATCGCAAGAGCTCGGGGAAGAGAAAAAAGCGATGGTAGTCGCAGAACAGGCGGCGGCGCTGGAGGGGGGACGGACCGACGGGTCAGAACCCGGAGCATTGCTGTGTGTCGATTTGGCGAGATGGGGATGGAAGCTGGCGTCCCGCGGTCTTGGAACCGTAATGATCAGGTGGGTTATTACCTGCTGTTCGTGTCGTGCTTTTGGACTCCCTTGTGGTGTCACCCCAGACTGCCACGCTCATTGGAAGCGGTCACCTCGTCGACAGCAACCCCTACTCCTTGTCTCCTTCGCTGCTGAGCAACTCCGACCCATCAAATGTTTGGATTGTTATTGAACTACATGTACATGCGATGTATGGTGCCTGTGAGGCCTTGTCTGTCAAGGAAAGGGGTTGCGATGAACTCAAGGGCCTCCGAGAATGAGAGCTGGATGCGAATTGTCACACAAGCAACAAGAAGGTCACAACGAACGTGGCGCAGCGCACGCAACTTCTCGTCTCCGTATCAATGCCATTCTTCGAGAGTGTCCCTTCCCAGGAGGAATGGCGGTGGCGGTTGAGTGTGCGGAGCTTTGACTCCCGTAGACACTTGCCCCAGCCTCTGGACACAGGACGGTGGTGTCTATGCGAAATCCGAGCTGTTCATACAATTGCGCGTCTGTTGTGAAGTCTCGAAATGAAATCTGCCGTAAAGCCTCCCTTTTGGCAGTCATGGTCTGCGATAGCTGTCGCGGAAAGAGTAAGACAATAGAAACCCTTCACCCTACGCATCATCACGCGGTTGCAGGTGGAAACGCGATGGTTGCCACGCTCAGCATGGAAGAAACGGTTGTGTATGCGGATGGAGTAGGTGTGAACGACCTTTTGCGGCACGTTGGCAGGTAAACCCAGGCCGGGGTGGAAAGTGACAGCCCTTCAAAACAGGCATCAAGTTCATCCACCGAGATGTGTTTATCCAGTGCACCGTTAGCACGGCTTCTATATCACTATTTTCCTCTTCTGACTCTTTGCTCCATGGTCAACGTTCATCCCCCGGTGGGTGCACTCCGGTTTCAGTTCGTCGAACCCCTGGGTGCTCGCGGAACTACAACAAGCTCTGCAGCAAGCTCTTCCCGAGAGCGACGGGCTTTCCGAGGAGAACTCTGAGAAAAGTTGCGATCGCCAGGATTCTTCGGGCGAAGTGGTGGTTGTGAGAGTGGCTCTCCCGTCAGCTACGCAGAGGGAGCAGGTCAGAACAACGCTGTTCGCATCCACTTTTGACGACCACCAAAAAAACGAGTTTCATAATTCGCCCCACGTGGCGAATGTGATGACTGCGGAACCCCTGAACCCCCCCCCCCCCCCACCCTTGCGACCCCAGGAAGTTATTGCCGTTGCTCGAGAACTCGAGCTCCACCACCAGCTGTCGGTCGCGGACGTCTCGATGCTCGCGGAGCTTACGGGAGGTAGACGCGCGGGGCTCCTGGATATTCTCAAGAGAGTGAAACAAAGCTCTTCCGCAGGTGGGTTCGAGCGCTAGACCCCGGAAGTTTTTGTTCCGGAAGGCTTAAGGGGTTCGTTCGTCTGGAAAGCGAAGGTTGGGACTAGGAATGAGACCCGGCGTTCGAAGAGGATTCCTGACAGACCATGCAAGACTGTATCACGGGGTCCCGGTCAACCCTACTCTCAAGAGGGTGCGGTAGGCGATACGCACCGCGGTGCCGTGCGGGCAAAGTCACCGTGTTTGCACGCCCAGCTTAACCTTGACAAGATTGGCCAAACATAGTACAACAAACACTTCATGTCGCTCCAGGCTTAGTTGGTGCCGTCAAGACCTGCGTCGCGACAAAGCCCCCCACGTGGATCGTCCCGTCTTTCTACATAGGGATGCAAATACCACGGCCGAGTACGACATTCCGATCGCTTCGGGATGACTTTAGATCGCGCATGCTCCGCCCGCCCTTCCTTGCCCCGCCCATCTGGCCGGTGGTTCACACCGCAGTCACCATCGCCGAGGCGTGCCGAGCCACGGTGGACGGCGAAGCCCTAGCCCTAGCGGCCACCTGGGGGCTACTCCCACGCGATGCTGCGTCCGGAGCGGTGGGGGAAGCGGACAAGAGCCGAGAGGAATGGTCACCCCTGTGGGAGGCGATGGGGATGCTGAGTGTTCCGTCCGTCGTAGTCGGCGTCAACGCGGCTGGTGGGTGGTGTCTCGGTTAATCCTGGCTGCCCTCCGGATATCGTGCCTCCGTACATACTTCGGAAGTATCCTGTTTTTCTGTCTTGGGCTTTCGTCTCCTTGTCGATTGGGGCCGTGCAGGGAACGAAGTTTCGTCGTCTGTTAGCTGTCCTGTGCGTGTGTTTAGCACAAAGCGGGAATATCTGGTGTATGTTATGGTGCAAAGAATATCATCTGTGGAAACACGGTTACATTGACGAGGAGGATGCAGGGGGATGGCGGGCGAAGTGGATGTATGCAAAGCCAGTCTCGACGACTAGTCGCGGATTGAAGGTGCACGGTTCATATGAGACCCTTCCATACCTATTTCGTTGCGTCCAGTCGGAACAGCGGCCCAATACACGCCCCCTCCTCGCATCGATCCCGACCGATGGTAGCCCCAAAATCGTCACGAACCGCATTCTTCGCACTAGGGGCTGCGTCGGCTGCGTCCCCTCCACCCGGCAGTGCGCACCCGGCCCAATTGTTGGAAGAGTGCTCCGTGGACGGGGCAACGCTGCTGCGTCTAACGAAAGAGGGCTGGTTGGAGCTATCCCCGGCGGCACCCCCCGGGTGAGAGAGAGGGTCGGAGGACGCCTGCCACCGTCAACGACGGTTTCGGGGCTTACGTTCGTTGTTTCGATGTACGTTCTGAGTATCAAGGCACGCCGGTCTTGCTGTGCATAGAGCGGCAAACGCGATCAAGCCTACCCCTCTGCGGGTGGAGGTGGGCGAGGTCGACGTTTCTCCGGCGGTGCGGCCCGCCCGAGGGACCGAGACGCTACAGTTCTATTCTTGAAACTTATTTCGGTTTTATGAGCAACACACGGTGCTTGCGTGTTTTCAAACGGGAAGCGTTTGACTTGCCCCACGTTCGCGCTGCTGGAACAGGATCCAGGCAGAGTCTTCATGATGGGAACGCACCACGGAAGCCTCTGATCGGTTGGTACTGGCCGTTTCGGAGAAGTTTCGATGCTTGTTTCGGGCTTTTAATGACGACTAAAACGTTTGTTTTCAGTTGAAAGTCGCATTTTTCCGAACATTTTGCCCGCTCCACCAAACGGTGGGTCCATCCGAAGGAGGTTGTAGCCTGTCTCGACCTTGTTGCCCCCCCCCTATCCTCACAATCGGCCGTTCTCTAGCTCCGGGACCATTCTCGAAGACCTGGGGCCTCACAGCCCCTTGGCAGGAGCCGAGCACGACTCACCGTCATCGCTGCCTCTGCACGATGGCCTTCATCGAAGCCCACCCTTAACCGTCCACGCGGCCATCGTCCCACTGGAATCCCTGTCTCGCGGGGTTGACCGGAGCTTTGTCGGGGTGCCGCCCCTGCGGCTCGCGGCCTACCGCCGGCTGTTCGACCGCCGTTCGTCGACGGCGCTACCCGAAACCAGCCCGGGGGCAGCAAAAGACGCAGGGCACCGGAGGAGTGAAGGGGCAGCGGTGTACGTGGGGATAGGGGATGATGGGGGTGGTCTACAACATGTCGGAGAAGGCAGCAATGGCACGAGCGATAGCCGAGCAGGATCGAGGCCGGCCTTCGGGGGCGATTTTGTGGGAGGAGGAGGGATTGGGGCGGCCGTGCAGGGGGAGAGCACCGGGGATTGGAACGGGGTGGGACTGCAGCGCGCGGGGGGTAATAAAGAGCTAGAGCGGGCGGGCTGTCTCATCGAGGTGCATAGCCGTGAGGCCAATTTTTGGTTGATGGTTGATGCACGCCTTTTTGTCGTTGGTCAGTTATTGAAGGAAGCCGACCTATATATCTCGAGTCTCTGTCAAGTGTTTCATGGGGCATCGCAACAACACTACATTCAAGTCTAGGCACCCGCCAAGCTCCAGTGCAACCACGTGCCCGAAAGCAGCTTGGCTGTTATTGATCATGACTACACCCTCCTGCCCGTCCGCCGACCCCCTCTTGCTGAGACTATCAGCGAACCCCGTGCCGGCTAAGCACGTGTGAGGACCGGATGCGATAGCGCACGAACACTATTTAGGACGTTGAATACCTCTACACATGATCGCGAATCTGTAACTGCTGTCAAAAGAGGGAATCATCCACACCATCACCATTCCACCGCCGATCTATTCTCTTCTACTGGTGCAGGCAGGGGTTCTGGGTAGACAGCACAGCCGGGAGGAGGCCAAGCTCTCGGAAGACCGCGGGGCCTTGTCTACGAATTGGGCCGAGCTCGGCACGTGAGTCGCAACACCATGTGTCTCCCGAAACATGTCGACATCACCTTGAAATTGCCCACCCCAAGCTCCAGTATCTTTTCGATGAGCAGCACTCTTATTTTGAAGCCGTTTCATCCCAAGCCGCATTTTCATTTCTTTCTTCCTGTTTCCGCGCGAAATGGGAGAATCATCTACAGCTCAAAAGCCTCATGAGAGAGGTGTCGCCCCGGAGACACGTCGACAAAACTCTTCGACGCGTTACCCACGATTCCTGTTCTTGGGTAAAGCAAGAGCAGATGACATTCTCCTAGCAATCAAGCCTGGCGTGGTGGGACCCATTTTCAAATCTTGTACTTTCCAAACATTTTTTGGGTTATTGCCAGTCTGTGTAACCCCCAATGCCAAAATTCCAGGGTGCGGGGTGATCTCGAGAAGGAGGGAAAAAACGACGACACTTCGGACGGAGAGTGGGCCGAGGTGCAGCTGGAGCTCATCCGTCAGGTAGGCTGCGTATATTTCGATTGCTCATGATGGCCGTTTACGATCCGTGTCAGTGTTGGTTGATATGTTCGGCACTGTTCTGTGTGCTACACTCGCGAAGAAAGATTTCGTGCAAAATACGCGGTTTTCCTCGGCTCGCGGGTGTGATAATATTGTAGCCAATGCATTTAGCTTGTTGGCATGTTGTATTTTCCCTCCACACAGAGACGCCCAAGCTGCTACTGGTGACTACAGCTTGGGAATCGTCTTCACAATACCCATAAGAGAAAGAGAGAAAAGGTAGCTGTACACTACCAGACGTTTGTGTTCGAGACAAAAAAAAATGAGATTTCCTGAAATCTGTCGTGGTGGGCTATTAATAGCTTGTTTTGGACAGAAAAACAAACCCAGACAAAAATCGACTAATGTACCATTCAATTTAGTTGGAACTTCTAAGCATTTCATATTTTTTTGTTTTGGGGACCACATTCAGTTAAACAGCACATATCGTGTCTTTTTTGCGCTTTTTTCCAGGAGAGGGCTGTCGTAGCAAGGGCTAACGAGATGCGAGCGAGGCGCGCGAGACTGGACACCCTAAGGCGCGACATCATTGACCTGGAGAAACACGCCCGACTAACACGACCATTGCCCCCAGGAAATTCTCGAGAGCATCGCCAACACCAAGACAAGTTCCTTGTGCCGCCACAGCCGGTCCCACAAGAAGCAGAGTCGGTCGCTCTTATGCCTTCTGGTTGCCGGGCCGGGGTGGGCGACGAGGAGCCGTCGTGGGCAGCAGAATTTGTTGAGGAAGAGGTTATCCGGGATGCGGAAACGGGTGTCCGCTTGATGCCTCTTCTTCCGACGAAAAGGGATAGGGAACAGGACGGCAGTTACAGTAGTTTAATGTCGGCAAGTGGTGCTGTTGGAAGCAGTGACGGTGGTGGTAGTGGTGATGGTGGTGATGGTCCGAAGAGACGGGGCTTGTATGGGTTTGGGAAGTTGTGGAGATGGATACGTGGGTCCCGGTGAGGAAATCGGGAGAGGAGGGGGAGGGCCTCGCGAACCCTCGCTCGGTTGGCTGTCTCTGTAGTCGGCTAAATAGACCTCACGACAAATGTACTTGACCGACAGAGAATTTCATGCGAGTACGTGATTCTCGTTTTGACGCGAGGCTCTTGTAATGGATTTTTGACGACAAAGGTGGAACGAAAAAGCAAGAACATTGGCACTGTACAAAGGCCAAAACTGACGACCCTATATTGTCTACAAGTTGCTTGGTAGTGGATTATTTTGCCACAGTCTGCTGGTTTCGGGTGTGCTTGGCTCGGTCCACCGAAGGAGAGAGAGAAAGAGAGAAAAAGAGGGAGACACAGAACAGACAGGCAAGTAGCGACAGACCCTGTCGTTCGTTGTTCTTTTGCTCTCTCTGTCACGATTGGGAAGGTGACTACCCCCTGAGCTACGTGCTGCAGCTCGTTGTTCCTGGTCGTGCTCGCGACATGGGCGGAATAGTATGTGCGTCCTGAACCTCTCGTAACCTCGCCTCGGAGATGTCTTGCTGCATTTGCGACACTTCTTGTTGGATTTGCTGGGCCTGTGCAAGATGGCAAGCGGGTTAACATACGAGGCGGTGGCTAATTATATGGTGTCGCCCACGAGTCAAGATGCCATGGGGGAAGGAATGTCGAGCAACGAGGTGGTGGCTATTTAGTGTCGCCCAACGAGTCAAGATGCGATGGGGGAAGGAATGTCGACCAACGGATTGCACATTCGCCTCGCAGGACAGGGGTGGTTTCGAGTCCCGCCTCCCCGAGTTGAAGGCAACACCGACGTCTACTGTAACACCGCCACGCCCTGATTCTCCTTGGGTCATGTTGATGATTCTGGAAATATCTCTCAGAAAAGGATATTTCTTCACGAAGGAATCGGCATGGGCTTGATGCCTAGGCAAGGCAAATTAAACTTCAAGCAACAAGGTGTTTCCCACCCGCAAAGCTGAAACGACCACTGTTCGCTCGGACCTCATCAAAGGACCCCCCAGTCCGCTATGTGCCAACAACTCTTCAGATCATTATTTCAGAAGATGCTTCCACGTTCCTTGCGCACCTTTAGTTTCATTTTTTCCTGCACTAGGCGATGACCTTCGTCAAAGATGCCTCGGACGTCTGCTATCGGTGCGGAGCGATGGCGAGTGGCAGCCCATGCCGCCGCCGATCTCTCCTGCTCTTCCTTAAGGGACTTTTTGAGTTGTTTCACCTCCGCGTCTGCAACTGCGAGGACAAAGGGTCATGGAAAAAGTATGAACGAATGAATGTGCTGTTTTCAAACGCTATGAGAAAACCCTTTTCACCAGCGGAGGTAATTGGCTCTTGTTGCAATGTGGCGAGGAATTGCCACGCGTGGCTGACTTTGGTCGGCCTTGCTAGGTTGAAAGGTGAGAGCCTCAGGGGCACGCTTCCACGCTCCGGCTGGTCACAGCAGATGGAGGGTCTTTTCGACGTCGAGAGCGTCGTTCGTAGGGTCACGGATCTATACGGTTGTACGTGCGTCCCTACCACTGGGAAGATACCTATATCCTGGTTTCCACAGCTAGACGAAAATTGAGGTAAGGTACACCAAGACGACAGCAACGAATATCCCAGCAACCAAGACAAATCGATACCGACAGCAGCGCCAACAGCGCCACGACCAACACTGACACCGTTTTCGCAAACAACAACAACAACAACAACAACAACAACAACAACAACAACAACAACAAAAGCACAAGGTTAGCCAATAAAGCCAAAACCACCTCTCGCCGTACCTGCCAGGCGAGCCCTCGTCTCGCCCGTCTCCTTACGCGCCTTGAGCAGCTCGTCCTTCCCAAAAGTCCTCTCCATCTCGCCCGTCTCCTTCTCCTTGACTCGAGCGTCCGCAGACACCCTGCGGGCTCGCTGCCGGCTAGCGTCCAGCAACGCTTCTTGTAGCTGACATTGCATGGGGTCGCAGCGACGATGGGGGTTATCGAATGCTTGGAGGTTTGACATGGCCTCTTCATGAGCGAGTGGTCTCGCGTTACACCAGCCAAGTCAACCGTCGGGCGAGCAACAAATACGAGATGATCACGAAACTCGTGTGGTCATTACACCTTCAAGATGACGGAGTGTTTATATCTGACAACAGTCACGCATGGAGCGAGGTTGGTAGGAGAGGGGGTAATGCCGTGCACGATTCGCGCAAGATGGAAAAGGAGGGGACGAAAAAGTTGAAGCCGTCCCGATTGTCGGCAGGTATGTGGAGAGGATGTTGCAGCGAGTTCTGGATCTTCACAGCGGATGCCGGCGCCGAGATCGAGAGACAGTGGAAGCTTGTCGTAAAACGCGCTACTGTGTCATTGCGCCCTGATACGCCCCACGCGTTCTCACCTGTACCCTGAGATCTCTAATGGCATCTAGAGCCCTCGCCCCTTCGGCAGCAGCGTGAAGGCCCTTTGGTCAAGTCAAACCAAACGGTGGATAGGGGGTGGGAGGTGTGTCAGGGTAGGGTTGAAGGCTCTCAAAAGCTCCAGCAAGAATTTATCAGTGGTAAACAATAACCAATTGCCATGCGACCACACCACCACACCTCGACTGATAGGAATCCTGTGGCCGCCTTCTCGGCTCGGTCGCGCAATACCGACACCATCGCATGGAACTCTCCGTCTGGCACACCGCGCACTATTCCCATGCTCGCAAGACACTCCTTGAGAATCTGCGTAGCGTTGGCGGCATCGAGAAGACGGTTCAATGTCGATGGCCTTGAGTCAGAGAGGCACGGTTTTCTCCTGCAGGTATCGGTGTGCGCGTGCCCTGCCTCGGGCCGCACTTGCTTTCTTCACGTATGAGAGGTGAGAAATTACGGTGGAACACGCCAAGGCGTCACTACGTAATATTAAGCCGTATTCTTTCTGAACGTGGACACGCGACTTGTGGCACCCGGCCGGAGACAAAAGAAGTTCACTTCAACTCTTCAGCAGGTGTCCTGCAGAGCTTGCTGTTCACTGAAGTGTCGGTGGGGCTGTAGCACAGCACTCGGAGAAAGAAGCGAAAAGACGAAGAGCGTCTCGTGTGTCGTCTTGTGCACGAAAGAAACTGTGTGTTCAATGTCTCGAAGAACGTGCTACCGTCGAGAGATCTTACCTCCCCGAGACTAACGACCACCGGCTGAAGCGACCGGTTCTTTTCAGCCGCCTTGGCGGCCTGTTGGGTCGATCAGTCCATTCACCGGTCGCCGTCGTTGGGTGGGAGGTAAAAATTGCGTGAAAAGCAAAGACAGAGAGACAGCGAAGACGTCGGCATGTGTCAGGCAAGAGTACGTGGGAAACACGGCTTTATTCACCGACACATGGGTGCTTTGGTTTCCTCATAAGGTGAGGAGGTGTATGACCAATCACAAAGCCTGCCTTCCTAAGTAGATGATACGTTCCTAGGTTTCTCGTGAGATTGTGAGATTTTTTGCTCACCTTGCGCAATTCTCCTATCTCCGTCTCAGCTTCGGCGAGCTTTGCCTGAGAGAGCTGCAGACGCTGCCGTAGCTGCTTTTCGCATCGCTCGCGAACCGCCATTGACTGTAGACTGTGTGCCACGGACTCGCTGAGAGATGTAGGGAAGGAGGGGCAGGAGAGGGGTAGGGGGAGTGGAATGAGCACAACGAAAAGGAGGTGTGGCAGCGGGTGGCGATGTAGCGGCATGGGTAGTGGTGTCCGGGGCTCCAAACACGGGTGAGTTGCTGCGTTCACAGTGGTGGTAAGCACTAACAGCTCTACTTCCCATCACCAAATCATGAACGATCGTCTGGCTGGAGTGAGTATGTGCTGCGTCTCGCCATGAGAAAAATAAAAATAGAATCGAGGGTGACCTTAACGCCGACGTCAGTCCCCCCTCTTTCTCATCCTGGGCGTCCGCGCGTTCTCGCAGGGCTTCTGCAGCTTCCGCCGCTGCTTCAGCCGCTTCACGAGCAGCTCTCGCCGCGTCGGCGCGCTCCTCTCCCAGCACTCTTTCCACTTCTCGCAGAGAGATCTTGGCGTTTCGCGTCTCGAGTAATGCCTTTTCCGTAGCTGATGCTTGCTGGTTGTATCGTTTTTCCCATCTGGCTGTGACGAGGTCGGTCAGGGAGGGAAAAACGCAACGAGGGTTAGCAGCTGTTTTGAGGAAAGCAAGGGTGTTGTATTCCTCCCATGATTGTGTCTACGCCGAGCATCATGGAGAGGTGACTGCCTCAACCAGCGAGGGCGTATGGCCATGCGCGCACATCGCCCTAGACCTTCTCCTGGTATAGACGAAGACCTTCCTTCATGGACTGACAAAAACTACAGCTTGTCAGTTATTCCTTTTGTCGCGATATTCCTAAGGACTGCAACGGACCCCCCCCCCCCCTCAACGCCCCTGAACGATAAATACGCTCAAAATGCACAACCCAAACATTTTGCGACGGGAAGAGGGACCAATCCTGATCTCGTCTTCCATCTTCCATCTGTCACCTGCAGCCGCCTCCGCCACCGCGAGCCGCCGATCATTGTTCGCCGACGAGTCCATCTGATTACCACGGACGGCCAACAATGAGGAACTTCTATCGGTCGCGCTGTGCCCTGCCGCCGTAGTCGTAAAATTCGAAGTTCCGCCCCTGGCTTCCAATGGCAATGATGGCCTCTGCTTCGATCTTCGCGGCCGCGCGGCTTCCGTTGGTCTCCTCTACAACAAACAAGGGTTTGGTTTAAGGCAACCGAAAATGATCTTACCCAGTTGCAGATACATCAAACTTCGTGTTTGATCCCTCTGAGCATTGTTGTTTCCAACAAGTACTGTGATGTTTTGTACATGCTCTTGAAACAAGGTAAGGAAGTGCGTGCTGATATGGATGTATGTAGAGACTGTTATTCAGGGAGACTTGTATGCACGAGACATTTCAATCTGTAGAGCAGCGTGAATGGTCCGAAGAAGATTAGGCATTCTCCCCTGAAGCAAATACTCCCCAGCAGACTATCTGTAACCCAACACACTCATACATTGGTTTACCCTTTGGCATGGTCGTGATCGACAAAACTCTTGCATCCGAGCACCAAGATGCAGGGCTCTGGTCTCACGCTGGAGCTACCCTGGTGCACCCACCGAGCCGTCATCGCAGTCGTGCCTGTCGCCATCTTCCGACCAGGCCTTGAGAACGCGTCGCAGGCTTTCTCGCGCCCGCACACCGCCCGGAACTCCCAACATGGCGATGCACCCCACCAGCAGCTCATCGAACGTCAAGCTACTTTTTCGTCCAGTGCGAGACGAAGCAACACGTGCAGCAGGTTCTGCCCCTGCTGCTGCTACCAGCGATGCGCGTAGTTCGGATGTCCTGCTCATTCTGTTGGACAGAGATGGTGGTGGAGCCCTGGGCAACAAGGATGGTGATACGCTGGCTAAGGTACCCGTTTCCGTGGTTGCTTGGAACGCCGGAGATGCCTCCACGCTCAAGCTCATATTGTTCACCTCGAGAGACTTCGTGGCGTTGCTGCGAAGAGGCAGCCACCAAACACATTGGACAAACAGACAGAAAAATGTGACAAGCAAGGCAAAGGGTTGATCAGGCACTACTATTACATTAGCGGCATGCCTGACGAATATCTGAAGCCAAGTCTGTACAGGCCCTACACGAGGTAGTCCATGAGTAGGTGTAATCCCGCCTCTCGGCGAGCGAGCCTGTGCGCTGATGTACCTGACGTTCCGTCGGCCCCCTGGGAAGATCCTGGGAGTTCGTGTCGGAGAGAGTCGCTCCGTCTCTTTCACATGCACACTATCCCCCTCCGGCGTGCAGACTGACGAGCCACTACTGAAGGTGGTGACAGTCATGGACTGCTGTTAGTTGCTCTCCTGACAAACTCAAATGAGTCGGTTGGATCATGAGGTCAACATGGTATCTGCTATTGAATGTATGCATACGGCTGTGTGTGTGGTACCACCAACGTCGCTGGATCCTAGGAAGAAAGCGCCAGTTCGTACAATATTAATATTTGTATGCGTATCATGTTTGTCCTAAATACAGAGAAAACATGCAGTGCGGTGGTGTTTGTGACGAAGCCGTTTCTCTGATTCTCTGAAACAACACCCAAACGAAATGTTCTTGTCTCTTGTATGCAACAACACACAAATGAAATGTTATTCTCTCTTGCATGCATAGAGCGATGTCGACGACAAGCATGAAACCGTCGAGGAACACATGAGCACTTTTTCGTTCAGAACTGCAGTGCTGTACTACTGTGAGCTTGTAGACTTCCCGCTACATGTAGTCAACATGCTAAGCTCTCGGTATTCCACTGAACCTAACAGGGTACATTTACTGAATGCTAGCAGACGATCGTGTAGCATCTCCCCAGCCGAGATAGACCGCTGTGTGATCGAAAAGTTTGAAAAACATTATATGAGCCGTTTCAAAAAAAAGCCTTCCTGCTGATGCAACCCCCACTCAAGATCTCCCACTTTTTGGATCTCCGTTTTCTTTAGTTTCACCTCCGCTCGCTGCGTGAGCACTCTATCCCCCACACGCAACCGCTTCTTTCCAGGCGTGTCATTCCCTTGCATTCCTAGCAGCTACGATGCCGACCTATGACGAGGTGAGGAAAGACATGATGGAAGTGGATATCCTATATCAGAGGCGCGCAAGCCTGCCTGACGGTGCACACGCAAGAGTCATTTTTTCGTTTTTGTCTTCTCCCCCTCCGAAAACAGCAGCAGCAGCAACTCTCGTTGTGCTATTCGCAGTATGTACGAGACATGTGCTGGACACTTGGAGGCTCGACTCGCTCTTGTGTCCAGACGATCCATTTTGCGGTCTGGCGCTACGACGACTCTACTGAAACCTCCGGCCAGCACCCCGACGTCGACTGCTGCCATGTATCTACTCTCCCCCGCATTTTACCCGTATGTCTTGAAAAAGCTCCCCTTCGCACCCACCCGGGGTTTGAAATGTTATGTTTTTCTCGGCGTGGTTGTCACACAGATGACCATTGAGGCCGTCAAGGCCCTCAAAGAGAGGAATGGCTCGTCCCTATTTGCGATCAAGAAGCACATCACAGCCTCCTATCCGAGCCTCACGTTCACCGCTCACTTTATGAGGAGCGCCCTCAAGAAGGGCGTCGAGTCGGGCAAGTTTATCAAGGTGAGCGTGTTGTTGGTACTAACCCCCAATGGCAGTTTTTTTTGCTGGTCTTGCCTCAGACCGCAACTTGTTGTCATGCGTCCGCATTGCGTTTGTCTCGTCAAAACACACTTGCGTGACGGTCAACGACCGCCATCACCATGGAACTAGACCTCGTGTATTGTAGAGGCCGTCTGCTGCCGTCCAGGTGTTTGTGACAACATACAGCCTACGCTGGTCTTCTTGTTACGTCGTTGTGGATGTTGTCTTCTCCAGTGGTCCGGGCCGGGAAGGGAAGGAAAAAGAAAAAGAAAAAAAGGACCCCCACAACTACGCGACAAAGCATGCTCTGCTCCAAGTATCAGAAAGTACGCACTCACCCGCTAATAATATGTAGTCTCTGTACCTGTTGAACCGCGCGAAAAATGCAAATGGATTCAGGCCATGAAAGGGAAAAGCCGTTTCGCCTGTGTGCGTCACTTTGATCTATGTAGGTCGTCAGAAAAGCCAACGGCTAAAGTCGGGCATAACCACCATCGATCGATCACGTGTGTGCGTGTATGTGTGTGTGTGTTGAACCACCGCCTATCACCCATATGTGTGGGCGTGTTGTTGGCAAACGGAAAGCTGAGACTTGGGTGAGTTATTTTGCCGAACGAAAAACTATCTAGAAATCTATATTATCAGTTCAAAAAGTACAGGAGACCAAGAGAGAAATGCCGAGGTACAGCAGCCCGTTTATTGCGGCACGCTATCCCGGCCACGTCACCTCCAGGAGAGGACCCTATATTGCGTCGTCGTTTCTCCAGTTTGATCTTCGGTTCAAATATCTGCCTTTGTTCGACGTTGCCAAGCCGAAGAAATGGCGGACAAACCACAACCAACCCAACATTCGGGACAAGAAACACGACGCCCCGTCGTGATAACCCCCCAAGACCAGAGGAATGTTACCTCTCCCGAAACACTATTACACTTGTAGCCTTAACCAAAACTTTATTAACACATCGGAAATGTTGACACCGCGGTACGTTATGCAGAGGGCCGCTGTATCCTCAACGAAGCAAAGCCGCCGCCTGAAACAGGGAAGTCCATCGCCCCCCCCCCCCCCCCTCGCTCCTCTTTCAATCCCAAAAGTGGTCTGCGATGTATTCCCCCATATGCCCTGGACCATGCACAGCCGAAGAAGTCGATACAAACGAAGGCGTGTGACTCTCAGGGAGACCCGCCTGCTTCCGAACACAAGCAAGAACAGGTTTCCCCTCCCTCGCCCACGCTTTGTTCCACAGGTAAAAAACTCGTACAAGCTTAGCGCTTACCGCCAAGAACCCGCCGCCAAACCCCAAGAAGCCCAAAAAGAAGGTGGTGGAGAAAAAAAAAAACCCAAAGAAGCCGGTCAAGAAAAAGCCCGCCAAGAAGGCAAGCGGTTGGCAGGCTGTTACTTTCGTTGTCCACGCCTTTTCAAGAAAAAAGCACGGTGTGAGAGAGGTGTTGTAGAAACATCCGCCGGAGGCGTGTTTGTCGTCTTGTGAGAAACCATGCCTGGTGCCGAGCTATTCACATTTTTATTGTTTTCGTCTCTTGGCACGACGATGCTGTACTTTTCTCTCATGCCGCAGACGTGAGGAATAGACAACGGGGCTCAGAGAGAGAGTTCCACTTGAATTGCTGGCGAGCAGTTCAGAGATACATGTAGTTCCGAAGTTTCACGTACCACCATCCGCAATGTTGCTCACAAATAGGTGGACAAAAATAAACGGAACGCGCCTGAAAATTGGATAAAATGGCAGTTCCGTCAGCGTGACAACGCCATGGCTCGTCACCCCCGGGTAACGGGTGAAGTACCTCCCCGTGACGGCTACGGGGCCCCTTCTCACCCACAGGGAGGAAGCTTACACCATGGCTTGCGTGAAACAATGTTCCTCACAGGTATCGTCCAAAAAGAAGGCTGTTCCCGCTGTGGACACCGACGATGAAGGGTCGGGCGCCGAGGAGGACGAGCCAACCCCGAAGAAAAAGGTGTGGGGCGCCGACACAGGAGGATGACAAATGTTGTCGTCACTGTCGTTGTTGTTGTTGTTGTTGTTGTTGTTGTTGTTGTTGTTGTTGTTGTTGTCGTCGATGTTGTTGATGTCGTCGTCGCTGTTGCTGCTGCTGTTGTTGGTGGTGTTGGTGTTCTTGACGTCGTTGCGGTTGTCGTTGCCGGGCCGCTCGCCGCGAGGACAAATATCAAGAAAAAGGACAGTTTCAAGGTGCAAAAAAATATTGGGCAATCATGTTGTTATTTGTCGGTTGTTTTTGCTTTGTTGCCTTCCTTCTTGCGGCTTCAGCCACCGCCACAGAGCAACTAGATGTAGAGATGTTGCGCTCATCCTTAGTCTCGTCTTCTCTGCGCCTCCCATCCCCGACACGATGGCGCTCGAGAAATTGTTTTTAAGTTCTGGTCCTCGCGTTTGTGAGGCAAGGTATGTCACCGGGGGCTTTGGAAACCGAAACAGCGTAAGTACTTCCGTCCCTTTGCCCATTTACTACAGAACCGCCGTGGGAAGAAAAAGGGGTACGCGGGAGGCGGGGGGGGGGCACCCACGATTGCGTCGCACTCAAGCGCATGGAACATAGACTACTGTGTGACAACTAACGAGTTAAAGCTGTCTGGATCAACGCGTGTATCGCACGTTCGTGTGCGCGTGTTGTGTGAAAAAAAATTGGAACGTTTTTCGGAGCAAAGGTGGCGAAGAAATCAGCAGTCGTCAAGTCTGCCAAGAAGAAGGTCAAGAAGAAGGATGCCACCCCAAAGAAGAAGACCTCCACCCCGTCCAAGGATAAGGCTTCCACGCCCAAGAAAAAGAAAGCGGCCACAAAGAAGAAGCCATCGTCGGCCGTGAAGAAGAGCCCAGCAGCGAAAAAGAAAAAGAAACCCGCCGCGGTAAGTCGACTCGCCTATGTACACGATCATCTATATGTCAGAGTTGGTGCTGTTGTTTCTGGTTAGAGAGAAAGAAACGGAGGCTCCGATCCTTTTTCGCCCCTTCTATCGTTTTTAATTTCGCGTGTCGATGCTGCTACTACCGCCTCCTTCGTTTGCCAACTCATGCGTCTGCTGCGCCAGGCCAAGAAGACTGCCACCAAAAAGAAGCTCGTCACCAAGAAGAAGGCTGCTCCCGTGAGTCAGTGCGTTGTGTTTTTTGTCGGCTGTTTCGTGCATGTCTTTCAGAAGTTTGCGCTTCATACGTGTAACTATCCAGTTTTCTCCATCGTTCCATCTCCCACCATGGCTCGGGGTATGCGCTCATGGCGGATTTCCTTTTCCATTAAGGAGCTACTGTAGGGCACACGGAGGATACTAGAATATGTTTGCCACGAGGGCCCACCAATCCAATTGAAGAGAGTCTTCTACGCCACGAGCGCGACCCACTTGTGTCACGTTTCTTGCCCTATCCTTGAGCGTATGGAGGTGGTGTTGTTCCTGTTCAAGGCCTCTGCTTTCTGGGCTGATTGCTTTCGCTTGATTTCCAAGAAACAGCAATGCATGTTCTGATTCCTCCGTTTTTGATTCCGACGAAATTGTGCTTGTTGTTAGCGCGTCGGAATATTGTTCTTGAACATACACGAGCATTAACAACGATGTGCTTAGGGGAGGAGGCATCGCGAGGAAGCTCTTGAACCGAGAACATCCCCTCCTGAATCTTTGTTGTCGTTCCGCATTACTGTCATTGCCGCGCGGCCGTTCCCGCCAGTGGATCTTGACGCAATGCCCCTTCGCTGTTCAGAAAATGCCTTCTTCCCCGCGCACTGTACCCCCGCTGCTGTTGACGGACTTCTCCAACATACTTGTTTCAAAACTCGCCGCCCCAGGACAAGAAGAGGAATGCTTCTTCCGCCAAAAAGAAGACGATCGCCAAGGACACGAAGGCCGCCCCGGAAGCGACGGCAGCACCTGACTCTCCCGCCGCCTCTCCGGCACCGTCTTCCCCCGCCACCACCTCTCGTTCTCCATCCCTTTCCCTCTCCAATGGCGCGTCGCCCACGACAAGTGCCTCTCCTGAGGCGGCACCATGACGACGTTGACTCGAGATGGTTTGCCTTTCCGTTACAACTCCCCCGCCCTGCGACGCTTCCTCAAAAGACTGGTGGCGGCGTATTCCCAGCTAGCTCCCTTGTTTGGTTGCGGCATTCAAATCGATTGCATTGACATGTCAAAGAGACGGTATTCTTCATTCCGCTCTGGAAGGTGTGTGCCCACACCCGTAGAACTTTAGCCCTGGTTGTTGTAGATGAAAACCTCTCTGAGCGTGAAAATTCCCGACACCTGCCGGCCAGTGCGTGTTCATTGGAGTTCTTTCAGCCTTGGTGCCGGACCTTTTTGTCCGCCGGACAAGAGGGCTTGGTATATTAGATGGTATCTCGCAGATGCGGGGAGCTACTGCTGAAAGGCCTCTCTCGAAGATCGATCTCGTGGAGACAGACGATTTCGTACGTGAGGAGTTGTACAGAAGCGCGACACTGGTGGTGCTTATCCTACACCATAATGCTGCTTCTACTTGTACCAAATGACAAGTTGGGACAGAAGTAGTTTCGGGTGTTGGAAATCTGGGTTGAAGGCCTTGGGTTGCTCCCCGCGAGCTCCGGTTGATCAACGCCGCCGTGCAAGACGCTTGCATGCGAATTCTGTACTCACTGATGCCGCCGCCGCCGCCTGAGGTTGATAGAGATGTTGCTGGTTGTATGAGATGGGTGAGGTTTCACAACCGGATTAATGTCTGACTCAGTATTATTTTGCAGGTGTTGTGTTTATATTAATCTTCGGGCCGATGATGATCTTTCCACCCTTCGTTCGTTGAGGTGTCCAGGGGAAGAATGGGGGGGACGGTGTACAAATCGTAGGTAGTCTACCTGTTTAGTAGCTTTGTACCAGCGCGATTGACGTTCATTTCTCATGAAACGATTTGCTTATTCAGCACACACACACACACGAGCTGCGTGCCATACAGGACATACATGGACCCCTACTGCTGTACTTCGTTTCGTGCATGGCGACAAAGTCGTATATATAATAGCTCGCCAACAAGCCCTGCTTCGAACGTGCGCCCGTGTTTCGTTTTGTATTCCACGCGTCGCCTCTTGATCGAGTTCGTTCTCGTTCAGTAAGAATGTATGTTCAGAGGGGGGACGAATAGCGCGACGGCACACCGCTCACCACACCGCAAGATCGGGCTAAAGTCCTTATTCATGATGTTAGTTGCAACTCAGAAAAGAGGCGAGCTCGCAGAGATAGCTCAGCTGTAGGCGTTCCGATGATCACACTCGCTTCAGATGAAGTGTGTGTCACACTAACCTTGACCAGGGTGATGCAACGTTGTTGTGTCCTCGAAAGCCACAATTTGAATCTAATCGCCATTATCGCACAACCCATCGATATCGCCATCATTGCGTCTATCATGCACCTACCGTACACGCGTGCACGCCAACCCCGATACACTATACCCCGGGGGAACGTACGCACGCCAAGAACTCTAGATTTTGTCTCGGAGAAGGGAACAGGTGGGGGCACGTAGTAACCCGTGGCCCTATGATGATAGAGGCAGCACTCGACGAAGCCCACACAACGAAAAAAAAAATCAAACGACGATCGATCTGTTTGTACAGACCTACACAGCATCGAACCCGACCACGCCTTCCTACTACCCCCTTCGCCGTCATGCACCAGTACAGGTGTTCGTGTGTGTGTGCCCTACGATTGAGTGCTGAGTCTAAGTGCACAAGGCACGTCCTCTTCCTTCGCGGTTTGTTGCCAGCTCCCGCACCCAACTAAATGTCATGCAAGAGCTTGAACGGATCCATCCTCTCGAGTTTCTCCCCCTTCCTCCCTCCCTCTCGATGCTCTAAACAGCTATAATAGGGCATGCAAAACACAAGTACACCCCTCCCCTCCCCGCCCCCCCTCCCCTTCCACACAGCCCAACTCGTGTACATCCCGCATAAAAAAACTGGACTACCACGAAAATCAGCCGTGACCTCGCGTAGTAGACTCGCAACGTCTTCCCATACAATTGCAGTTCG